GGGCTTGAGAAAAGAGTGGAGGATATCAGTGAGACTGTTAACAGAGAGATAAAAAAAGAACGAAAGATGAAGAACACAATAAATGAAATTAAAAATACGCTGGATGGAATATATAGCAGGCTAGAGGAAGCAGAAGAGCTAATTAATGACCTGGAAGATGGAGTAATGGAAAGTAATTAAGCTGAGCTGGTGAGAGAAAAAAATTATGCAAAACAAGAATAGACTTTGGGAATTCAGTGACTCCATCAAGTATAACAACATGCATGTTATAGGGATCCCAGAATAAGAGAGAAAAGGGGGCAGAACATTTATTTGAAGAAATAATAGCCGAAAACCTCCTAAATCTAGGGAAGGAAACAGATATCCAGATGTAGGAGGCAGAGATTCCCCCAAGAAAATCAACACAAGGAGGTCCACACCAAGACACACAGTAAATAAAATGGCAAAATACAGTGATAAAGAAAAAAACGGGGGGGGGGCACCTGGGTAGCTCAGGTCATGATCTCAGAGTCATGGGATCAGGCCCCACATCAGGCTCTGCACTTAGTGTGGAGTCTACTTGAAGATTCTCTCCCTCTGCCCCTCCCCCCTCTCACACACTCTCTCCCTAAAATAAATAAAAGCAGCAGAGAAAAGACAGTTACACACAAGGGAAACCCCAATCGGCTATCAGTGAATTTTTCAGCAGAAATTTTGCAGGCCAGAGATTGGCATGATATATTCAAAGTGCTGAAAGAGGGACGCCTGGGTGGCTCAGTCGGTGAAGCGTCTGCCCTTGGCTCAGGTCATGATCCCTGGGTCCTGGGACTGAGTCCCACATCAGGCTCCCTGCTCACTGGGGAGCCTGCTTCTCCCTCTCCTCCTGCCACTTCCCCTGCTCATGCTTTCTCTCTGTCTCTGTCAAAAAAAAAAAAAAAAAGTGTTGAAAGGTTAAAAAAAAAAAAAACCTGCAGACAAGAATACTCTATCCAGCAGGGCTGTCATTCAGAATAAGGAGAGATAGAGTTTCTCAGACAAATGAAAACTAAAGGAGTTCATGACCACTAAATCAGCCCTGTAAGAAATATTAAAGGGGAGATGCCTGGGTGGCTCAGTCGTTGGGCATCTGCCTTCGGCTGAGGTCATGATCCTAGGGTCCTGGGACTGAGTCCCACATCGGGCTCCCTGCTCTTCGGAGAGCCTGCTTCTCCCTCTCCCTCTCCCTCTGCCACTCCCCCTGCTTGTGCTCTCTCTCTCTCTCTCTGACAAATAAATAAATTTTAAAAATCTTAAAAAGAAAAGAAAAATATTAAAGGGGACTCGCTCAGTAGAAAGGAAAGACCATAACTAAGAGTATGAAAAGGAGGAAACACAAAAGCAGTAAAAATAAATATATCTGTAAAAAATCAGTCAAGGGAGTCACAGAATAAAAGGAAGTAAAGTATGACACCATATAGGTAAAACGTGGGGAGGAGTAAAGAATGGGTTCAGGCTTAAGGAATCAGCAACTTAATACTGACTGCTATATGCAGAAGATGTTACATAAAAACCTAATCGTAACCACAAATCAAAAACCAGGAATAGATGTGCAAAAAATAAAGAAAGAAATTCAAGTATATCACTAAAGAAAGCCAGCAAACCTTGAAAGAAAGAAAGAGAAGAAAGGATCAGAGAAGAATTATAAAAATAACCACAAAACAAGTAATAAAAAAAACTCCCGAAAAACAAAAGTCCAGGACCAGATGGCTTCACAGGTGAACTCTACCAAACATTTAGAGAAGAGTTCATACATATTCTTCTCAAACTATTCCAATAAATAGAAGAGGAACTCCAAACTCATTCTGTGAGGCCAGCATTACCCCAATACCAAAAGCAGACAAAGACATCACTAAAAAAGAGAACTACAGACCAGTATCTCTGATGCATATAGATGCAAAAGTCCTCAACAAAACACTAGCAAACTGAATCCAACAAAATATTTTAAAAAATCATTCACCACAACCAAGTGAGATCTATTCCTGGGTTGCTAGGGTGGTTTAAATATTCATAAAACAATCAACATGATACATCGCATCAACAAGAGAAAGGATAAAAACCATACAACCATTTCAATAGATGTAGAAAAAGCTTTTGACAAAGTATAACACCCATTCAGGATAAAAAACCCTCAACAAAGCAGGTCTAAAAGAAATATACCTCAACATAATAAAGACCATATATGAAAAACCCACAGCTAACACCATACTCCATGGGGAAAAACTGAGAGCTCTCCCCATAAGGTCAGGAACAAGACAGGGATGTCCACTCTCATTACTTTCACTCAACACAGTACTGGAAATCTCAGCCTCAGCAATCAGACAACATAAAGAAACAACAGGCATCCAAATTGGTAAGGAAGGAGCAAATCTCTATCTGCAAATGACATGATATTATATACAGAAAACCCTAGAGACTCCACAAAAAAAAACTGTTAAAACTGATAAATGAATTCAATAAAGTCAAAGGGTATAAAATCAATGTACAGAAATCTGTTGCATTTCTATTCACTAATAATGAAACAGCAGAAAGAGAAATTAAGAAAATAATCCCATTTACAACTGCACCAAAAATAATAAGATACCTAGGAATAAATCTAACCAAAGAGGTAAAAGACCTGTACTCTGAAAACTGTAAAACACTGATGTAAGAAATTTAAGATGACACAAAGAAAAAAAAAAAAAAAAAAAGAAATGGAAGACATTCAATGCTCATGGACTGAAGAACAAATATTGTTAAAGTGTCCACACTACCCAAAGCAACCTACACATTTAATGCAATCCCTATCAAAATACCAACAGCATTTTTCACAGAATAAACAGTAACAATAAAGAATCCTAAAATTTGTATGGAACCACAAAAGGACCCAAATAACCAAAGTCATCTTGAAAAAGAAAAACAAAACTGGAGGGATCGCAATTCCAGACTTCAAATTATATTACTCAAGTTATATTCTTTGTAGTCATCAAAACAGTATGGTACTGGCATAAGTAGATACTGTAGATCAGTGGAACAGAATGGAAAACCCAGAAATAAACCCACAATTATATGGTCAATCTTTGACAAAGCAGGAAAGAATATACAATGGGAAAAGGATAGTCTCTTCAACAAATGGTGCTGGGAAAACTGGACAAGCCACATGCAAAAGAAGGAAACCAGACCACCTTCTTATAGCATGCACAAAAATAAACTCAAAATGGATGAAAGACCTAAATGCGTGACAGGAATCCATCAAAATCCTAGAAGAGAGCACAGGCAGTAACTTCTCTGACATTGTCCATAGCAACATCTTTCTAGATCTGTCTCGTGAGGCAAGAGAAACAAAAGCAAAAATAAACTACTGGGACTTCATCAAAATAAAAAGTTTTTGCACAGCGAAGGAAACAATCAACAAAACTAACAGACAACCTACAGAATGGAAGAAGACATTTGCAAATGACATGCCCAACAAATGGTTAGTATCCAAAATACATAAAGAACTGATACAACTCAACACACCAAAACCAAATAATCCAATTAAAAAATGGGCAGAAGACATGAACTTACATTTCTCCAAAGAAGATACAGAGATGGCCAACATACATGAAAGGATGCTCAACATCACTCATCATCAGGGAGATGCAAATCAAAATCAAGTCACACCTGTCAGATGGCTAAAACCAAAACCACAAGAAACAGTGTTGGAGAGGATGTGGAGAAAGGGGAACCTCGTGCACTGTTGGTGGGAATGCAAGCTGGTGCAGCCACTCTGGAAAACAGTATGGAGTTTCCTCAAAAAGTTAAAAATAGAACTACCCTACGATCCAGCAATTGCACTTTTGGATATTTACCCAAAGAATACAAAAACACTAATTCAAAGGGATACGTGCACCTTGATGTTTATTGCAGCATTATTTACAATAGCCAAACTATGGAAGCAGCCCAAGTGTCCACTGATAGATGAATAAAGAAGATGTAGTATATGTAAAATGGAATAGTACTCGGCCATAAATACGAACGAAATCTTGCCATTTCCAACAACATGGATGGATCTAGAGAGCATAATGGTGAGCGAAATAAGTCAGAGAAAGACATATACCTAAGTACAGAAAACACACCGATGATCACTCGAGGGGAGGAGAGTGGGGGGCAGGGGGACACAGGGTATGAGGATTAAGAGCACACCATCACGATGGGCACTACGTAATGTACAGAACCGCTGAATCACTACACTGCACAGCTGAAACTAATATAACACTGTATTTTTTTTTTTTTAAGATTTTATTTATGTATTTGACAGCGCACACAAGCAGGGGGAGGGGCAGAGGGAGAGGGAGCCCGATGCAGGACTCGATCCCAGGACCCTGGGATCAGGACCTGACCTAAAGGCAGACGCTTAACTGACTGAGCCCCCCAGGCGCCCTGTAACACTTTATGTTAACTACCCTGGAAGTAAAATTAAAAACTTAATATAAAATAAAAGAAGGAAGGTGGTCCTGTCCCCGAGGGACCTCTCCCTACACCCACCGCCGAGGAAAGACAGAGGCACAGATGAACTGTCCTGTGACAATCAAGAACTGAACTGTAAAGCAGGACTTTCTACTAAAAAGGACAGGCAGGGGGTGGAGGGGAGGGGCGCCTGGGGGGCTCAGTCGGTTAAGCGTCTGCCTTCGGCTCAGGTCATGATGCCAGGGTCCTGGGATCAAGCCCCACGTTGGGGGCGGGGGGGTCCCTGCTCAGCGGGGAGCCTGCTTCTCCCTCTCCCTCTGCCCCTTCCCCCTGCTCCTCTATCTCTACCAAATAAATAAATAAAACCTTCAAAAATAAAAAGATAAAAATAAAAAGGACAGGCAGTGATGGTGGACAGGTAAGCTGCTTGGCAAGGGTCCGGTTTCCCTAGGGAGCCTGGCGCCTCCTCCGAGCCCTGCCACGCAGCTGCGCACACCCACCCCCTCTGCTGGCCAAGTGGGGCACTGCGTGAGCTTGCACAGAACACAAAACCTTACCTTGAGATGGTGGAACATTCAATGTGCCAGCCGGGTCTTCCTTTTCCCCAAGGAGAGGCCCAAAACACCTCCTGGGGTTTGGCTGCCTTCCACAGGGCAAAGTCGCTGGCGTGCCGCTTGTCGGAATCAACTGCCAACAGCAAATGATCAATCAGGGGCAAGAATCTAAAAGGCAGACCCACACAGCATGGCCATGACATCCCAAAGATGCTGCTCCTTCCAGCACGTGACCTCACGCTCCTCTTCTCCCCTCGTGACGGCCGGAAGGACCACCCAACACCTTTATCTAAAACACAGTGAGGCCAGTTTCAGCGAGCAGAAGAGCCGAGATTTCGCACGGTGAACGCTGATGCTTCTTCCTAGGGACGCATGAGCTGAGCTGCCTTCCTTCCTTATTCTCCTCCTGAGAAAGCTAGGTGTGCCAGCGGGTGAGTTTCAGAGCACCTTCTCCCCCAAAAAGACAACTACACAGAGCACCAATGACACTGGAGGAGCAAGAGAACCCAGAAGAGGAGAGTTAGGGGACGGTCCACGGTCATACAAGCCGGTACTGGGCTCTCTCTGCTCCAAAACTTGGTGCGGCCACGATGTCCTGACATGAGTGGATATGCCAACCGTGCCGCATCGGACAAGGGAGTGTTACTCAGCACCGGAAGGAAATGGCTATCAAGCCATAGAGACACGGAGGGTGGCTGCGTCCCCGGTCCCCAAGGGGCTCTGCCCTTGCCTGGGTCCCCATGGGACCTGGTGGCTTAAATGCACACTTTCACCTAAATGTGTATTCAGTGAAAAAAGCCAGTCTGAAAAGGCCACCGAATGTATGCTCTCACTTTATGGCATTCTAGAAAAGGCAAAACGATGCAGACAGTAAGAGATCATGGGCTGCCAGGGGTGAGGAGGGAGGAGTTTGAGCAGCTGGAGCACAGGGAGGGCTGAGGGCCAGGAGGGGGTTCTGTGCCATGTGTCGTCACACATTTATCCAACCCAAGAATACACAGCACAAAGCGCGAACCCTCCCAGACACTGTGGACTCGGGGTCACGTGTCCATACAGGTACATCCGCCGTGACAGATGTCCCATTCTGGTGACGTTCGTAACAGGAAGGCTGTGTGTGAGCAGGGTCGGGGGACGTGGGACACCCCCACTCCTAACCGTCAACTTTGCTGTGAACCTAGAAGCGCCCTAAAATAAAGTCTATTGTCTTTTAAAGATTTATTTATTGGGGGGGGGAGTCGGGGGAAGGGGAGAGAGAGAGAAACTCAAGCAGCCTCCCTGCTGAGCATGGAGTCCAACGCGGGGCTTGATCCCACGACCCTGAGATCATGACCTGAGCCGAAACCAAGAGTCAGGCGCTTAACCGACTGCGCCCCCCAGGCGCCCCTAAAGTCTATTAAAACACAAAAGCACCGCTGATGCTAGGACGTGTGTCTCAGAAACATGTCCTCTGCTTCCCTAGGGCACAGCGGCAAACCCACACGTGCATGCCGTCTAGCGGCGCTTGGTTCTGGTCCTTCAGGAGGGAGCGGGATACTCATGAGTAAGAGTAACAAACACCATTTCTGAGGCGTCAAACAATACTGTTAGTAGGGGCGCCCGGGTGGCTCAGTCGTTAAGCGTCTGCCTT